GGGGGCTAATACCACCGACAAGGAGCTAGAGGTTCTGTCCTTGCACAACGTCACCTTTGAAGACGCCGGGGAGTACACCTGCCTGGCGGGCAATTCTATTGGCTTTTCCCATCACTCTGCGTGGCTGGTGGTGCTGCCAGGTACCGGCTTCTGCGGCTGCTGCTCCCCACTGTCGGGGACACTGGCTTGGGACACGCCAGAGCCTCCAGGACGGAAGGGAACCCTGCGGCTTAGGGCTGCCCCACTCCTCGATCCCTCACACCCGGCCCTGTGCCGGGCATGAGGACAAAGTCGGCCCAACCAGGCCCAGACCTGGTCCCAGAGGGGCCCCATCAGCCCCCTTGAGCCCCCTTCCCATCTGGGTCCCTAAAGGCCCCTCCTGTGGCTCTGGTGTCTTCCGGGTGCCTGGTGGCGGTGTGGGGCTGGCTGGCTCTGCTGGGCGCCTCCTCTCCAGGGTCTGGCCCTCCTGACTCATCGGTGTTTCTGACCACAAGACCCCCCCAGACAAGGGGGATACTGAGGTTCTGAGCCCCCTCCCGCTCCCAGTGGTGCCTGTGGCTCTGGGCCAGGGGCACCCATGGGGCCTGGGGGGGCCAGGCCAGGCCTCAACGCCTGTGTCTTTGCAGCCGAGGAGGAGCTGGTGGAGGCTGACGAGGCGGGCAGTGTGTACGCAGGCATCCTCAGCTATGGGGTGGGCTTCTTCCTGTTCATCCTGGTGGTGGCGGCCGTGACGCTCTGCCGCCTGCGCAGCCCCCCCAAGAAAGGCCTGGGCTCCCCCACCGTCCACAAGATCTCCCGCTTCCCGCTCAAGCGACAGGTAACAGAAAGTAGATACCAGGTTCCGAGCTGCCTGCCCGCCCGGCCTCTGGAACCCCCTCGGTCTCTGCTGGTCCCGGGCTGTGCAGCACCCTCTGCAGCCAGGCGGGCTCACCTCCCCTGGTCTCTGGTCACCTCATAGAGCCCAGGGTACTTTGGGGCGCAAAATGTTCTAACAGCCTTCATTCAACGCTGGTGGAAGTCAGAGCGCCCCCCTTCCAGCCCGCAGCGCCCCCCGGCTGCACCCCCACGCCCTGTCCTCCACACAGCGCCAACCTGCCCCTGCCGACCCAAGCAGGTGTCCCTGGAGTCCAACGCGTCCATGAGCTCCAACACGCCGCTGGTGCGGATTGCAAGGCTGTCCTCGGGGGAGGGCCCGGCGCTGGCCAACGTCTCGGAGCTTGAGCTGCCCGCCGACCCCAAATGGGAGCTGTCCCGGGCCCGGTCAGTGGTGCTGAGGGCCAGCATGGGCTGTAGGGCCTCCATGGTGGGGATGAAACGCCAGGCAGGGGACTGGCTGGGTCACTCACCTTCTGGGAGACCAGGTACTCGATGCCCCCGGCCACATGGTAGGCACAGGACACCAGGTCCTTGAAGGTGAGCTGCTCCTCGGGCGGCTTGCAGGTGTCGAAGGAGTAGTCCAGGCCGGGGGGGTCCACCAAGTAGTCCAGTAGAGGGGCCACCAAGGACGTGGAGGATGTTGGAGATGCTCCTCTCTCTGGAGATGCTCCTCTCTCTGGAGATGCTCCTGGGAGGGCTTCGTGGCAGGGATGCCCCTCTCAAGGTGCCCTGTCTGGAGAGACAGCAGGGGCGGGAGGCCGGTGGGTGACAGTCTTCATCCTCATGAGCAGGCTGCAGGATGAGCATGGAAGGCTTCCTGGAGGTGGGGGCTCTGAGTCTTAAGGGCTCGGCCAGGCTGGGGTGGGGACTGTGGCAGGCTGCCGGTGGGTGAGCTTGTATGCTCATGGGTCTCTCTGCCTCTGCTGCCAGGCTGACCCTGGGCAAGCCCCTCGGGGAGGGCTGCTTCGGCCAGGTGGTAATGGCGGAGGCCATCGGCATTGACAAGGACCGGGCCGCCAAACCGGTCACTGTAGCTGTGAAGATGCTGAAAGGTGAGGAGAGGGCGGCCAGCGGGGCAGGGCAGGGCTGGGGCGCCACCACCTGACACAGACCCTCCTTCCTTGCCCAGACGATGCCACGGACAAGGACCTGTCGGACCTGGTGTCGGAGATGGAGATGATGAAGATGATCGGGAAGCACAAGAACATCATCAACCTGCTGGGCGCCTGCACGCAGGGCGGTGGGTGTGCTGGGGGTGGCGGTGCGGGGCGGGCGGCCCTCCTGGGCCCGGCAGCCCCTCTGAGGAGCCCGTGCCCCCAGGGCCCCTCTACGTGCTGGTGGAGTACGCCGCCAAGGGCAACCTGCGGGAGTTCCTGCGGGCGAGGCGGCCCCCCGGCCTGGACTACTCCTTCGACACCTGCAAGCCGCCCGAGGAGCAGCTCACCTTCAAGGACCTGGTGTCCTGTGCCTACCAGGTGGCCCGGGGCATGGAGTACCTGGCCTCGCAGAAGGTGAGCAGGGCAGCAGGTGTGGGTGGAGTGGGCTGGGCACGGACGGCCCTGCCATCCTGGGAGCCACGGGAGGGGCGTTGAGGCTTCAGCCCTGCCCCCGCCCCTTCCAGTGCATCCACAGGGACCTGGCCGCCCGCAACGTGCTGGTGACCGAGGACAACGTGATGAAGATCGCCGACTTCGGGCTGGCCCGAGACGTGCACAACCTCGACTACTACAAGAAGACCACCAACGTGAGCCCGGCCCGCGGGGTGGGGGCGGGCGTGCCGGGGGCGCCTGATGCCAACTCTGCCTTCCCACCCCTCCCAGGGCCGGCTGCCCGTGAAGTGGATGGCGCCTGAGGCCCTGTTTGACCGCGTCTACACCCACCAGAGTGACGTGTATGTGTCCTGCAGACCCCGGCCTCGGGTGGAGGCGGGAACTGGGCAGAGCTGGGACCCAGCTGCAGCCTCACGCCTGTGCCCTGGGGCTGTTGGGCCTGGTCTCTACCCCTCCGGGGACACAGCGCAGCCCTGGCCTGTTCCCCTGGTGGCAGCCCAGGTGTCTGTCCTGGGGAGGTCTCAGGACAGTCTGACCTTGTGTCTCCCTGCAGCTGGTCCTTTGGGGTCCTGCTTTGGGAGATCTTCACACTGGGGGGCTCCCCGTACCCCGGCATCCCTGTGGAGGAACTCTTCAAGCTGCTGAAGGAGGGCCACCGCATGGACAAGCCCGCCAACTGCACGCACGACCTGTGAGCGGCACCCCGGTCCTCCCCTGGGTCCTCCGGGGCGCGGTGGGGAGGGACTGGCAGCCTGAGGCTCAGCCTGGATGAGGTGGGGGCCCATGCCTGAGCACCCCGCCCGCAGGTACATGATCATGAGGGAGTGCTGGCACGCGGCCCCCTCACAGCGGCCCACCTTCAAGCAGCTGGTGGAGGATCTGGACCGTGTCCTCACTGTGACGTCCACCGACGTGAGTGCGGGCCCTGGGCTGCTGCCACTCCGCCACCCCCGCCCCACCCTGGCCATCCTGCCCCCAGAATGCTGAGGTGTGGGGTGGGCCTCTGGGGCGCAGCCTGGGCACAGCGGTGGCTGTGGGAAGAGGGGCTCCGTGGGACAGCACTCACCCTGCCTTCCGCGGCAGGAGTACCTGGACCTGTCCGTGCCCTTCGAGCGGTACTCCCCCGGCGGCCAGGACACCCCCAGCTCCAGCTCCTCAGGGGATGACTCCGTGTTCGCCCACGACCTGCTGCCCCCGGCCCCACCCAGCAGTGGGGGCCCGAGGACGTGAAGGGCCGCCGGTCCCCGACAATGTGAGGGAGTCCCTAGCAGCCCACCCTGCTGCTGGGGCCCAGCCACTCCCTGGCACGAGACTCAGTCCAGAGGGACAGACGGCCACACAGAGCTTTGGTCTTTGCGCGTGCGTCTAGCGGCCTCTGGGTGCAGAGGTTCCCCTGGGTGTCCCTGCTGCTGTGCAACGGCCTCCTGACTGGTGCCAAAGCACCGTGGGGCCTTTGTTCTGGGGTGACCCAGTGCGGAATGTAAGGGGGCCCACCCTGTGGGACCCCTGTGGGGCAGGGAGCTGGGCCTGACGTGACCCTGGCCTCGGCCCCTGCATCGTGGGATGTCACAGGGTGGGCTTCCGGCCCTCCCACACCCAAAGCTGAGCCTGCAGGGAAGCCCCACGTGTCGAGCACCTTGTGCCTGGGGGTATTAGTGGCTCTGCCCCCCACCTCCAGGCTTTCCTTGTTCCCACCCTGCCCCTCAGACTGAAATTACGGGTACCTGAAGGTGGGAGCCTTTACCTTTTATCCAAAAGGTTTATTCCAGAAACTAGTGTACATTTCTATAAATAGATGCTGTGTATATGGTATATATACATACATATATATAAAATATATGGAAGAGAAGCCTAGTGCACCGGCGGCCCGCGGCCCCGGGGGCGCAGGAGGCAGGCGTGGCCCCGGGCCGTGGCGGGGGCCTCAGGGGTCTCACCCATGCAAGCAGAGGAGCCGGGCCTTTTCTGGCACCGCAGTTTTGTTTTAAAAATTGTACCTGGACCTGTATATTTGTAAAGCTATTTATGGGCCCCTGGCACCCTTGTTCCTGCACCCCAACACTTGTAGCATTTAGCCAGCCACATGGCGGAGAGTTTTCTTTTTTAACTTATTAACACCTGAGAAGGTTTATTCCGCCTATAGAGGGACGGCAAGAATGTGCGTCCAGCCTGCCCCGGGGCTGGGGGACCCCTCTGAGCCCAGAAGGTGGCTCCTAGTTGGAGGGGATGCTGGTGAGGAGACTTTATTTCCTTTGTCCTCCTTTTGCAGGAGAATTAGATTTCTATAGGATTTTTTTTTTTTTTTTAGGAGATTTATTTTTTGGACTTAAAAGCAAGCTGGTATTTTCACACAAATTCCTCTAATTGCTGCGTGTTCCAGGTGGGGAGGCGGTTTCCAGGGCGGGGCCGGCCCTGCGTGCAGGTTCAGATGTTATTAGATGTTACAAGTTTATATATATCTATATATATAATTTATTGAGTTTTTACAAGATGTAGACTTAACACTTCTTACGCAATGCTTCTAGAGTTTTACAGCCCAGACTGCTACCTTTCAGAGCTTGGAGGGAAGCCGTGCGTTCAGTGGGTGTTTCTGTTCTGTTCCTGGGCTGAGTCTGGGCGGCTGTCCCTTGCCTGCAGGGCCACGGCTCAGGGTGGTCTCTTCCTGGGGCCCAGTGCATGGTGGCCAAAGGTGTCACCCAAACTGGCAGGTGTGATTTTGTTAACCCATCGACGAACTTTCCAAAAAATAAAGAGACGCCTGGTTCCTAACCTGGCTGTGTGCTTTTCTTTGCGTCCGGTTGTTCTGGGATGGGGAGGGAGGGGTGACTGGCCGCCGGGTGGTCCCAGCTGCGCCGGGCGGATGCTGGCACAGCTCCGAAGGTCACTGGTGGTCTGGGAGCCTCCAGGGCAAGGAGTGTGTATGAGGGGCCTGGTGAGAGGGAGCAGGGTGCCAGGGGGTGCACCGCCCTGGCTGCTCCCAGCTCATGGGTTCCTGAGATGGTAGTGGTGGTGGGGGGCGGTCCTGTCTCTTCATCACCCCACCCCTGGCATCCACCTTCCCAGTCAACTGGGGAGCTTTCTGGGTACCGCCCCCGACCACCCCCCCGGCCCCCCCCCCCGCCCCCCCCCACCCCCCCCCAACCAACCGAACCCCCCCCGCACCGTCCCCCCGTACCCTACCGCCCCACCCAAACAACCCCCCACCGCCCACACCCCGCCCACCCCCAACCCCACCCCCCCCTCCCCTCCCCCCTACCTCCCAACAGACCCGTTTACCACCCTACCCACCCCGGCACCCCCCCCCCACCCAACCCCCGCCCCACACCCCCCCCCCCAACCCCCGCCCTCCCCCCCCCCGCCCCCGACCACCACGTGGACCAAAAGTAAGCAAAAAAAGCCCTCATGGGTCCCCCCCCTGGGGGGCTAATAATGAGGGTAAGGCGAGGGCGCAAACCAAGCAAAGATATAATATGGGGCGCACACCAGCACGCCCTCCTCCATGGTTAGCTTAGCTCTCTCTACATCTGCTTAATTAACCCCTCCTCAGTCCCCGGCCCAGGTGACCAGTCAGTACCCCACATAGCCCTTGGGCTCTTTGTTCTTTCCGCCCAGTGTCAGCCCACAGCCAGTGACACAAGGACAACTACAATGACATTGGGAGAATGCGTTTTTTCCCCTTTTTGTTTTTTTTTTTTTTTTTTTTTTTTTTTTTTTTTCTTGCTGATGGATGTGCCAAACCAAAGAACCACAGACACCAGTCTTTTTTTTTTTTTCTTGCTGAATGGATGTGCCATGGATGTTGTCCACAA